GAATTGAAGGTGGCCAGAAACAGGAACCATTACTCCTGATATCTATGCTGATTTGTTTTTTGCCTTTCCTAAAGAGGGTTTGCATGGTTTTGTAGTGGGTTTTTTTTTAACAAAACAAACATGCAAAACTGTTTTATTATAGCCATTATGATTACACTTATACCCCACCATTCTTCCATAATATAACATAAGGCAGCATCCAAGGGTCTCTCAGACAGTTTCCCATGCAGGTAATGGGCCAGATCTAGACCTACTTACTTTCAGCAAGGTGGCTACAACATGTGCCTTCAGACAATATCCTGGCACCAAGAATACAGGGCTAAGGGAAATCCCTGGTGCCTGATTGTATAGATGCCTAAGTGAGCAATTCAGTGTCTGCCTGGATTTTCCTAATGCAAAGTCCTGTTCAGATCAGATCCACCTCTGTCCACAAACTCTACATGGCTGGACAGCTCCCTTGCTGCCTCAGCAGCCTTGCCTTGGGTCCTTACCCTGTTGGACAGCTCCCCTGCCTTGCAAGCAGATGGGGAGTCAGAACCTCACAGCATCAGGAGTGATGATTCTAGTCTGCAAGAGTACAATCCACTTCCTAATTGCTTTATGAAGAAATCCACACAATTGGGAACCCCGTGCTGCTTCCTTAACGTGTAGCTTTGCCCTAAATGTAGGGCGGCTTCTAAATACAACAGAGACACAACGGAGGCACGGAAGGATGAGAGATGACATCATCTGGCTAGAGCTCTCCTTGCCGATGAGCTATGATGCGTGAAATGACACAGGGAGAAGCGATGGCTCAGTTGGGGGCTGTGCAATATTTAAGCAGGTCTGGGGTTGACAGAGGAAAGCTTCCCTCACAGCTGCTCCGCCTCCTTTCTCTAGCCTTGCTTCACACACTGGGGCCCAGAGATGCAGCGTGTGAGTCATCAGACCAGGATGAAACAGCAAATAAGCAGCATCCATCTCCAGGAACAAGACAGAGCAGAGCAGGGGGAATTCCCTCTTGAAAGAGGAGGAGGAGGAGGAGGAGGAGGAGGAGGAGGAGGAGGAGGAGGAGGAGAAGAAGAAGAAGAAGAAGAAGAAGAAACAGGGTCACATGGAATATGTTTGTGGGAAATCAATTTAGTTAGCAGAATGCTGGTGTTCCTGCTTTCCTCACTTAGAGGTTAAAAAAAGTTAACTACTGGGCTTTGTGTTTCTTTAAGGCTGGCATGGAATTCACAAGGATCCTTTGTTAATCAAGGTTGGCAAAAAAAAGAGCATATGTTGCAGGGACTTGTGGCGCTGTTGTCGCTGCTTCTTGTATATTTGTATCTTGCTTTTCCTCACAGGAGCTCAAGGCTGTGTACATTGCCTTTCTTTTTATTTTCACAACAGCCCTGTGAGGTAGCATAGGCTGAAACTGCACATACTTGGCTTTTTTATTTTATTTTTTGCATTTTTGTTATTTATCAGAGGTGGTGGTGGTATTTTACTGCAATTATTAAGACCATAAAAATGTTGCAGTTAAAGCAGTAGGTGGGGCTACTTTTCTGCCTTCATGCATGTTTATTTTGCTTTATGTGATCTGTAAATGACATATATTTGTATCTTGCTTTTCCTCCCCTCCTCCCTTTTTATCTTTGGAACAGCCCTGTGTGGTAGGCTAGGCTACATTAACAATGTTCTTAAGCAATTCTTGCTAATATATTTGGGGGGAAGGGATGCAGGGCCCCAATCCACATACAGTGGACCAGGACCAGGAAGTTCTGTTGGCATGGGGAACCTTTGGCCCATCAGAAATTGAACTACAACTCCCGTTGTCCTTGGCCGTTGGCTATATTTGCTTGGGCTAATGGGAGTTGTAGTTCAGCAACAGCTGGAGGGCCAAATATTTCTGTTTTAATGTAAGGACCAGATTGGTTTGCACCACCTATTGAATTCCACAACCAGGGACTTAGTTGGAACTTCATTGGAACCTGCTACATCAGATTTCTGCATCTAATACTAAGCCTTTTGGTTGTAGAATTCAGATAGGGGGTGCAAATTAATAAGGTCTTTTAGAACAAAGAAACACAGGGACTAGATATGTAGTGAACTTTTCTTCACTACAATAATGTTCCAAAGGATAGAGAGGGCACAATTAAAGGATTTAAAGGGAACCACCATGCCCTAGCAGAGCATTCTTAAACAGCTTCATTAAATTATCATTATCATTGGGGTTCTGTAAATGCTCTAGTTAATCCAAGCTCCCTGTAAGCCAGTAGAGGCTGGTCCTTTAGGGAGAATGGGTTACTACCCCACCAGCCTCAGTCTGTCCTCAGCCAGTCCCTACTGGCCTGTCCTCATATTTGCAACCAGTCAGTGGGTGGCTCTGCCTGTCATTGGCTCTGGCGCCACCTAGTGTTGGTCTTCCCACTTCCACTGTATTATTCCCAATGGGCACCAGCCACCACTGATCGAAGACCTTGGCCAGAAATTGTGTAATGTAGATGGGAAGGGAAGTCTACATGCAGAGGGTCATTCACTGTAGAACAGCTAGAATTGAATATAAGTAAAGGTAAAGGTACCCCTGCCCGTACGGGCCAGTCTTGACAGACTCTAGGGTTGTGCGCCCATCTCACTTAAGAGACCGGGGGCCAGCACTGTCCGGAGACACTTTCCGGGTCACGTGGCCAGCGTGACAAAGCTGCATCTGGCGAGCCAGAGCCGCACACGGAAACGCCGTTTACCTTCCCGCCAGTAAGCGGTCCCTATTTATCTACTTGCACCCGGGGGTGCTTTCAAACTGCTAGGTTGGCAGGCGCTGGGACCGAACAACGGGAGCGCACCCCGCCGCGGGGATTTGAACCGCCGACCTTTCGATCGGCAAGCCCTAGGCGCTGAGGCTTTTACCCACAGCGCCACCTGCGTCCCAGAATTGAATATAAGTAAGGTAAAATGTTGAGGTAAGGTAAAAAGTGCCTGGCGTGCTCTGGTCCATGGGGTCACGAAGAGTCAGACACGACTAAACGACTAAACAACAACAAAATGTTGAAAATTGTAAAATTGTAAACTGTTAATGACAAAACAAGGAATCATATAACTTGTCAGTTATCCCACTGCCTTTGCACTCATTGGCCAGAATGCTGGAAGCCTGGAGTAAATTTATTTCATAGAGAACAATAATTTGGCATAGCGCTTTGATGCTCTTCTTTATATTTCCAAAAGTAAAAGGGGCAGACACAGGAACTGAAAAAGATACAGATGTTTGAGTATCATCCATGCCCTCCAACATTTCATGGATGAAAATAGGAATGTGCTTGCAACAACCGTGCCTTCATATCAATGATGACTTCAGGAGCCACATCCCCCCCCCCCATTCTACATTTTGAATGATTTTGATTCACGTGCTGGATGGTATATTAATTTACTTTGCAAGATCCTCACAAGCTATTGCTGTTAAAGGCAAGATGTTGGTTGCTCTTTGGGTAAAGATCTACTACCAGGAAAGACAGCTCTGTTTCCAGGATAGCCTGATATCTTTCAAACTTCTTCTTCAGGAGTACATAGGGCACCATTATTTCTGTTCATTTTCTGTTTGTTTTTTTAAAAAGAGAGAAACCCCGAATTGTTTTTTTTTAATCCAGTTCACATTTAGTTCATTCATTTTGCTTGAAAATGTTGTTTAGCTGCTGTTGCTTAATTGTAAGTTGTAAATGGAAACTGGTCAGTTGGTGGAGTCCAAACATGGAGACAGACTAACAGTGACTAACACAACAGAAATGTTACCTTCTTTACAAAACGTTTCAGCTCCAGATTTCATCAGTTGCTCTGATAAAAATGACGCTGTTCCCAAGGTCGCTTTGGTGCGGGGTGTGTGTGTAAACAGTGAGGTCAAAGGGGAATTAAATGCAAAAAGAAGAAGAAGAAGGAACAGGGGAAGCGTACTTATCATACAGCTTGGCATTCAGGAGTTAGGGTGTGGTAATTTTTTAAAAAATATTGTTATTATTTATTAAATTCCTTTGTTGCTTTTTCTTTCCCAGGGCAAACCAAAGCGACTTACAACCAGACTGACAAATATCCATGGGCAAGACCAGGAGCGCCCACACCGCCTCCCACAAGAGACGGCGATCTTTCTTTAAAGCCCTAAACGGCCTCGGCCCAGTATACCTGAAGGAGCGTCTCCACCTCCATTGTTCAGCCTGGATATTGAGGTCCAGTGCCAAGGGCCTTCTTGCGGTTCCCTCGCTGTGAGAAGTGAGGTTGCAGGGAACCAGGCAGAGGGCCTTCTCAGTAGTGGCGCCTGCCCTGTGGAACGCCCTCCCAGCAGATGTCAAGGAAATAAACAACTATCGGACTTTTAGAAGACATCTGAAGGCAGCCCTGTTTAATATTTTGTTGGAAGCCGCCAGGTGGGTGGGGTATAAATAATAAATTACTATTATTAGTCCCTCATGCCTCAGAGGAGGCCAACCAGAGAGGGTGGGCGAAATATATAAAAAAATAAAATAAATGTCCAGCAGCACCTTAGAGACCAACTAAGTTTCTTCTTATTGCGAGAAGTGAGGTTGCAGGGAACCAGATGGAGGGCCTTCTCAGTAGTGGCGCCCACCCTGTGGAACGCCCTCCCTTCAGATGTGAAGGAAATAAGTAGCTTTCTTCTCCTTAAAAGACATCTGAAGGCAGCCCTGTTTAAGGAAGTTTTTAATATTTGATGCTGTATTGTTTTTAACACTCGATTGGAAGCCACCCAGAATGGCTGGGGAAAGTCAGCCAGATGGGCGGGGTATAAGCAAACAAACAAACAAACAAACAAAGAAAGGAGGGGCAGGAGAGGGGAGAGTGACAGGCCCACAGGCGAAATATAGAGACCCGAGCTCCTTCACAGGAGGGGCGTGGCTCTCAGGCCTGCCGAAGCAGAGAGGAAAGCTCAGTGGGTGAGGAATGAGGGCGGCCCAAGCTCAGCCGCGAGCGGATTTGTTGGCGTCGTCACCAAGCTGGGCAGTGAGCGCCCGCCGTTTCGGCAGCAGTAGGCGGAGCTGGAGGGCGGGTTGTCACTCAGAGGAGACATGGGCTGGGCTGGCGAGACAAAGGCAGGAAAGCGAGCGGCGGTGGGCGGAGTCTGAGTGCCAGGCAGTGCCGGCCGGTGTCTGGCCCGAGCGGAGGGGCGTGGCCCGAGCGAAGAGGGGCGGAGACTCCGGTTCGTCGCGGTGAGCTGAAACTTGCGGAGGAAGCAGCAGCCGCCAGAACTGAAAAAAACGCCATGGCGGAGGCGGCAGCCGAGAAAGGTGAGCGCGAGCCGCGTCTGTCACGTGACCGTCGTTAGGGCACGTGACGGACTCTGCGTTTCCTTCCCCCCCCCCGCTCTTCTTTTGCTTAATTGCCAATAAGAGAAAGAGGAAATCACGGTTATTCCTCCCGTTAATAGAGAACTGAAGAGCGCGCGTGCGAGGCTCTTTGCACGTGCTCAGAGGTTCATTGCCCAAGCTCAGAATCGACGTCTTGATCGCTTGACTGGAGGCCCTCCTTTTTTTTACACACGTCTCCGGGCGTTAAAAATAATGTCTTGTACTCAAGCCCTGCTTAAGCCTTCCTCCTTGGCTCTACACTGAATTTCTTACGGGCTGAGTGGCGTGGTGGGCAGATTTCCTCCCCCTTCCCCCACTGAATATCGCCTGACGGTCATTTTAGAAGGGTTGTGTTTCTGTGTTTTGCCTTTGCCTTTAGGGCGTCCTTGCTTTTCTCTCTTGCTCCACTGAGTCTGTTTTTGTGATCCCAGCTTGAGCCCAATATCGTATTTACATGAAGATTTATATTCTGCTTCTTAACTCGATGTCCTGTCAAATATTAAAACCTAGGAAAATGTATATTGAAACTCCCAAGAAAAATACAAAATAAACCTGCAGCAAATGCACCCCTGCATGCACATGCAAACAGTGGCGTAGCGTGGGTTGTCAGCACCCGGGGCAAGGCAAGTAATTTGCGCCCCCTAACTCGTGGATTTGCACCCCCTAACCTGTGGATTTGCCCTAACCCCAGATGTTGCGCCCGGTGCGGACAGCCCCCCCTGCACCCCCCACGCTACGCCACTGCATGCAAATAAAAGCTTTGCAATGGTCAATGTGAAGTTCCTTTCTGTGATTCCTGCCCCACCTCTTATCTCTGCCAGGGAACCACATGAAAGTAGGGTCCCATTGAAATACACTGCAATATTTGATGTGAACATATTAGCTGCTTTCAGGGTGGTGATTTAAGTGCTCCCATAATTATGTTAGCAAGCAAAAACAGTGTTGTATCCAGCTTAGTTTTACTTAAGAGTAGACCCTTAATAATAATAATACAGTGGTACCCCGCAAGACGAACGCCTCGCAAGACGGAAAACCTGCTAGACGAAAGGGTTTTCCGTTTTGGAGGCGCTTCGCAAAACGAATTTCCCTATGGGCTTGCTTCGCAAGACGACAGCCCATAGGGAAATCTCCGGGACAGCGGGGAAGCGCGTCTTCCCCACTGTCCTCGGACCTCCTCCCGCCGCCAGGCTTCGGAAGGCTGCTCCGAAGCCTGGCAGGGGGGCGGAGAGGTTTTTAAAAAACCCCGGGACAGCGGGGGACTTCTCCGCTGTCCGGGGCGATTTTAAAACGCTGCCGTCCCGGGGGAGCAAAGTCTTTCGCCCCTCGCCCGCCTTCAGAAGAGGTCCTGGACCTCTTCTGAAGGCGGGCGGGGGGCGAAAGACTTTGCTCCCGCCTGCTTGCCTTCCCGGGAGAGCGGAGAACGCAGCGCTTCTCCGCTCTCCCGACGGCTTTTGAAGGCAGGCGGGGGGGGGGAGCAAAGACTTTCGCCCCCCGCCCGCCTTCAGAAGAGGTCCAGGACCTCTTCTGAAGGCGGGCGAGGGGCGAAAGACTTTGCTCCCCCGGGACGGCAGCGTTTTAAAATCGCCCCGGACAGCGGAGGACTTCTCCGCTGTCCGGGGCGATTTAAAAGCCCCTGGGAAGGCAGACAGGGGGGACAAAGACTTTTGCCCCCTGCCAGCCTTCAGAAGAGGTCCTGGACCTCTTCTGAAGGCTGGCGGGGGGCAAAAATCTTTGTCCCCCCTGCCTGCCTGCCTTTAAAAGCCCTCCCGGGAGAGCGGAGAAACGTGCTGCGTTTCTCCGCTCTCCCGGGAAGGCAGCCAGGGGGGACAAAGATTTTCGCCCCCCGCCAGCCTTCAGAAGAGGTCCTGGACCTCTTCTGAAGGCTGGGGGGGGGCAAAAATCTTTGTCCCCCCTGCCTGCCTGCCTTTAAAAGCCCTCCCGGGAGAGCGGAGAAGCGCGCTGTGTTTCTCCGCTCTCCCGGGAAGGCAGCCAGGGGGGACAAAGATTTTCGCCCCCCGCCAGCCTTCAGAAGAGGTCCCTCTTCTGAAGGCTGGCGGGGGGCGAAAATCTTTGTCCCCCCTGCCTGCCTGCCTTTAAAAGCCCTCCCGGGAGAGCGGAGAAGCGCGCTGCGTTTCTCCGCTCTCCCGGGAAGGCAGCCAGGGGGGACAAAGATTTTCGCCCCCCGCCAGCCTTCAGAAGAGGTCCAGGACCTCTTCTGAAGGCTGGCATGGGGCAAAAGTCTTTGTCCCCCCTGCCTGCCTTCCCAGGGGCTTTTAAATCGCCCCAGACAGCGGAGAAGTCCTCCGCTGTCCGGGGCAATTTTAAAATGCTGCCGTGGGGGGGGGGAGCAAAGACTTCCCCCCCCCAGCCTTCAGAAGAGGTCGGGGGACAGATTGTCCCCGGACCTGGTCTGAAGTCGGTTTCCCTAGGAACGCATTAATTGATTTTCAATGCATTCCTATGGGAAACCGTGCATCGCAAGACGAAAAACTCGCAAGAAGAAAAAACTTGCGGAACGAATTAATTTCGTCTTGCGAGGCACCACTGTAATTTATTATTTATACCCAGCCCATCTGGCTGGGTTTCCCTTTGGAATTAATGTACCTAAGTTAGCCATGGCTATTAATTTCAAGAAGTCTACTCTTGAGTAGAACTAACATCAGCTGCAGCCCACAATTTCCAAGTGGGACACAACTGCCTTAGTATCAATTGTTTCATTGCACATTGTAATTGTGAAACACAATCATGGGTAAAATTGCCATCTGTGAGACTTTTCCCCTCCCTTAGTTTTGCAACTTTTGCCTTATGTTCATTTTTTTCTGCAGCTTACTACAGATTCCTTGTGCTCTTCTTCAATTGCCTCCTGACCTTTGGCTCTTACTTCTGCTTTGATATCCCAAGTGTTTTGCAAGAGCAGTTTCAAGGGGTAAGTGCTTAGGTGGGAATGAGCAACAGTATTCTGTAAAAGGTCACATTGACTGCAGTCTTGAGACAAAATGGGTTGGTGGGGTATAAATACAAAATGTCTCTGAGCCCAAGTCTTTTCAAGCTGACCAGGTCAAAGAAAAGAGCTGTTTCCACAGCTGAAAGGCATATATGTTAGAATTATTTTTGTTGCAGCCAGGACTCAAGCAAAACTATAGTTTAAATGCCGTCACAGTTTCTACAGACTAGATTTGTACATCTTTGTCCAAAATGCAACAGACCTGGAATTCATCTTCAGTTGGAGTACTTTAAACATCCTGGGTGGGGAACACATGACCTCCCAGATGTTGGACACCAATCCTCATCAGCCTCAGCCAGCATGAGCAATGGTCAGGGATGATTGTGGGAATTGTAGTCCACCAACATGAGGTGTATCATCCCTGGATTAGAAGGATTCATGACTGAGGATAGGTTTATCATCATATGTACTAATGGAAAACTCAGTTCTGTGAGTGGCCAAAGTGGTACCATTTAAAGGAGAGGTATTGGCAGGCTCCAGGGAGACAATGAAGGTTTGCAGAACTCCACAAAGCTTCCCAATCAGGACTGAATGGGCCCAGTGGTCACAGAACACTGGTTTAGTGTTGGGAGGAGAACAAGATCCAAGGCGAAGGTCTCTCTCAGCTCTCCAACTCTGTCAGCTAAGATCCTTTAAGTAGAGATAGGCCTGGAATCTTTTGCATGCAGAGCACTGATTGGTTGCTGAGCTGTGGCACTGGCCTGTCCTAAAAGTATATGTCTTCTCCAACCATTTAAAGTCATTTTCCTCCTCTTGTATGAGGGCTAACCAGTTCCTACTCCCTACCTATGATTCCCAAGAGTCCTAAGAGTTTGCTATATGAAATAATCTTAGGAAATAGATAAAGAGCACTAGCCACCTAAGGCAAAAGAGGCAGCTGGGTGTCTTGGAATGGCTGAATCCAGATGTCCCCCTGCTCAACCCCTTGTTTATTTCTGGAACTCACTTCCTTTTACTCTGACTTGTTATACAGAACCTAACCTGTCCCAATGGCACGCACCACAATGGCACAGGGCATAATGGAACTGACTGTGTGGAAGGCCTGGGAATGACGCCTGAAGAGTACAATCTTCTGTATGCTATCTATGCCTGGACGTAAGTCATTCTTCTGTATCTTCCTATATACATTAAAAAGTAAGGCTGTCGGCATGCTGCAGTTTCAGGGGCTACTGATAGGCCAACTACAGTGTGACAAATGGCAGATAGGCAAGTGAGAAAGTAGCATGGGTGGCAGGGGGCCCATGCGAGCTGTTTAACTCTGTGTGTGTGTGTGTATGTGTGTGTGTGTGCGCGCGCGCGCTTCACAGTGCCATTTGGCCAATAAGCTCTCCCCTCCATTAAATGCAACTGCAGCAAGGTTTGGCAGAGTGTAGAGGGGTACTTCACTGAGCAAACACCCCTCCATTAAACGCCTAGTTTTATATTTATCTTTTAAGTATATCTATGTATATGTAGGGAAGTATAAGGGACGCGGGTGGCACTGTGGGTAAAACCTCAGTGCTTAGGACTTGCTGATCATATGGTCGGCGGTTCGAATCCCCGCGGTGGGGTGAGCTCCCGTCGTTTGGTCCCAGCTCCTGCCAACCTAGCAGTTCGAAAGCACTCTTAAGTGCAAGTAGATAAATAGGGACCACTTTATAGCGGGAAGGTAAACGGCGTTTCCGTGTGCTGTGCTGGTGCTGGCTCACCAGCTGCAGCTTCGTCACGCTGGCCACATGACCCGGAAGTGTCTTCGGACGGCGCCGGCTCACGGCCTCTTGAGCGAGATGAGCATGCAACCCTAGAGTCGGACACGACTGGCCCGTACGGGCAGGGGTATCTTTACCTTTATATGGGAAAGGCTGTCAGTGGCTACTAACAATGTTGACTGTGTTCTCCTGTCAGAGGCAGCATGTATCTGAGTACCAGGTACTAGGAATCACAAGTGCAGAGAGTGCGGTGTTCTCCTGTCGTAGAATTGTAGAGCTGGAAGGGACCACAAGGATCATCAAGTCCAGTCCCCTGTAATGCAGGAATATTTTTGCCCAACATGAGGCTCGAACCCACAACCCTGAAATCAAGAGTCTTATGCTCTAACAACTGAGCTTTAATCTGGGCTGGTATGCATCTGAGTACCAGGTGCAGAGGGTAATTGTTTTGGGGCTTTGCATAGGGCATGTGAGAGCTGGATGTTAGACTAGATGGGCCTTTGGTCTGCTCCAACAGGGCTCTTCTAACACAGAAACAGGAAACAGGAAATAAGTAAAAGCAAACACATTTTTTAAAATAAAAAACCAATAACTCTATTTTTCTTTTGTTTCCCATAGCAATGCACTGGTGGTGATCATGGCTGGCTTTTTAATTGACAAACTGGGAAATCGCTGTAAGTTCTGAGGCGTTGAACTATGGCTGATTGTTCGCCCTCCCCACTTGACTGCTTGATTTCAGAGGTCATCTGGTGAATCCATTCTGTGTGCTCCTTTGTTTTCCATTTGTTTTCTGTGACGCAGTTGGCAAGGATGCAAAACGGGACTTTTTCTTATGCGGCACCCAGTATACTTGGCCGCCTAAGTCATTTAGGGCTTTAAACACTAATATGAGCACTTTGAATTGGGCCCGGAAACAAACTGGAAACCTTTGAAACTGTTTTAGAAAGGTGTTGTGTGCATTGGAATAAACCTGTGTGAATTGGAATATATCTGTGCACAGTTTATGGTTGATGCCAGCATTTAACAGAACAACCTAAACTGTGGGAAAGTGCCCACTGGTGATAAACCAGCTTACCAGTATACCTGAGGGAGCGTCTCCACCTCCATCGTTCAGCCCGGACACTGAGGTCCAGCTCCAAGGGCCTTCTGGCGGTTCCCTCACTGTGGGAAGTGAGGTTACAGGGAACCAGGCATAGGGCCTTCTCAGTAGTGGCACCCGCCCTGGGGAATGCCCTCCTATCAGATGTCAAGGAAATAAACAACTATCTGACTTTTAGAAGACATCTGAAGGCAGCCCTGTTTAGGGAGGTTTTTATCGTTTTTTAATATTCTGTTGGGAGCCATCCGGAGCAGCTGGGGAAACCCAGCCAGATGGGCGGGGTATAAATAATAAATTATCATTATTAAAAGCTACTGCATCCAAACCCCAGTTCAGGAGATACTGAAGCTGGCAGAGAGTTTTTCTGCCAATGTGAGATTTCCTCTGCCAGTGGTTCTCCACATGTGCTGTTTCCCAGCTCAACACACCTGGAGTTTGTATTAGTGGAGGCTAGTCCATTAGAGCGAATAGGGCAGTGACCAGCCAACTCAGTCTGCCCTCAGCTCATCCCCCACCTGTCTTATGTTCTTTCTTACAACCACCCCAGGAGGTAGCTCTGGTTGTCAACTTCCTCTTCCTTAGTCTCAGTGTTGCCCTTGTGGGATTTAGGAGGGAGGAGGATGGGGACAGAGCTGCAATTACCTGTCTTTGGCTCTGTCTGCTCTGGCTTCACATACCATTGCCTCTTGCCTTCTGCCCTGCCATTTGCAATGGGCACCAGCCGCCACTGGTTTGGATTACACAATATCACGGGAAGAGTGTTCACTGAGATGCGCCCATTTGCAGCGAACCAGAGACATGCAAAATGGGTCAGTAATGTTTCCCTGTTGGATGCCATTCCAGTTAATAGACAGGCATTGCATGTTCAAGTCTTATCGAAATAGTCATAGACCTGGATCCAAGAACTGGCCTCCTCTTACTCCTCCAGTTTGCATAGTTGTTAAAAGCCCATTTGCCTTGATTGAATGAACTTCTTCCATCTTCTTCTTCCCTAGTTGGTGTATTTCTCTTCTCGTTCCTCACTGTCCTGGGATCATCCATATTTGCTCTGGGCTCTCACTTCAGAGGAACTCCGTACCTCTTGCCGCTGATGCTGACGGGCAGGTTGCTTTTTGGCTCTGGAAATGGGTCACTGACAAGTAAGGAGAGAAAGAAATCCTTTTTCCAGTTAAGACAGGGGTGGCTTAATTTTGTAGATTTTATTTGCTGTGCATTGCCTTCGGGAATCGGGGAATCCAAAGTCATATGTGCTTTTCATGGATAAATGTCTGTACTGCTGATTGGAGACGCTCTGGTTTCCATTTCTGGTCTTTTCCCTTCTCCTAGGGTTCACGTGGTTTCACATTTAGCTTTTTTTTTGGTGACTGTTCTGTTCACTACCTTGAGTATTTTATGAAAAGATGGGCTATAGATTTTGTTATCAACTCTTCTCCATTTTCAGCATCTATCTTTTTCATGAAATCACTTAATAACACTGCTGTCTTTTCTGCTATTTGAGTTGTGCAGAATCGTATCACAGCCTTCTGGTTCAAGGGGAAGGAGTTGGCTCTGGCGTTTGGGCTAACACTCTCCTTTTCCCGGCTCGGAAGTGTCCTCAACTTCTTCTTCACCCAGCAGTTTGAAAGTCACTTTGGCATCCAGTGGACTCTCTGGGGAGGTGAGTTTCATGTCGGCTTGCCTCTACAGCAGGGGCCGAGAACCATTTTCAGCCTGAGGGTCACATTCCATTCTGGACAACTTTCTATGGCCCACATACCAGTGGTCGGTGTGGTCAGAGGCAAAAGTGGTCAGAACAGCGAACATGAATTTCCCCTTTGTACAGTAGGCCGTTTTCTACATACACTCTCGCACTCTCCTCTCTATGCTCCATCCTGGCAAAACAAGAAGCATTATCAGAGTCCCAGGGAACATTCCAGCCAGACCAAAACAAACAAACTCAAGCAGGGCTGGTGAGAGATGTGACTAGAGAGAGTGTGGGGTCTGGGGAGAGTTCCAGGGGCTTGATAGAGAGGCGTGGAATGCTGTGCTGGACCCCCCAGGCCTTAAATTTCCCTGAAATGGAGCCTTTCAAGAAGGTCAGTTTATATTGCAGCAAATACACTGTGTCACCCCTCAAGCAAGCACTTCTGTGTCCAAAATACCATATTTTTGCCAATAGGAAGTAGCAGTGCTTGTTGCTGGACACAATATGATTCTTGACTCGGTGATTAGGCCCGTTGCAATGTGAAATGCTGTCTGGAATGTGGTTGCATGAGTGTGCAGGCAGCTACATACACTAGTGCCCTATGGCACCAGTGGTGATGAAGAATGCAACTCTTAATGCGCTTCCAAGTAGGAATTGTGCTTTGCTGCCAGTAGTCATCCTGCAAAGACGACCATAAGTGGCTAGCTAAAGTGTGTGTGTGTGTGTGTGTGTGTGTGTGTTGCGGGGGGAGAAGACCCTTGCCAGTTTCACCTCTCTAGCATTTTTATTTATTTATTTATTGCAATTAGCTGGGCTTCCTGTCCCCAAATGAACCCAAACCACGTTCTTGTCTAACACACCCTTAAAGCATTCCAGTGATCACATTTCCATCCATCAGTTGTTCCTTTCTGCCCTCAGGGACTTTGTTATGTGTCCTGGGCTTTCTTTCTGCTGTTGTCGTCAGTGTGCTGGACAAGGTGGGCATGAAGCAGCTCGGATTGGATGGAGTTATCCAGCAAGAATCCAAGAAAGTGGTACGTGAGGCAGAAGTTGCATTGAGCCACATATGCTTGGTTTTCCATTGTGAGCTTTGTGTGCAAAGGCCAAGAGCCTCATTTATCATTGGCAGCCAGGAGAGGGAGCAAGTGCCTTTTAGCAAAAGTCTCCAAGCTGTAGCTCCCCAATTTCCTTTCTCTGCAAAGAGGGGGTGGTGTGCCTGTGACCCTGAAAGCTTTTTGCCCAGCAAGTATGTTTGACTGGCAGCTGTTTGGCCCATCTAGGACAGTGCATCTTCGTGCACTGTTGGTTTATTACTGGAAGAATAGGAAAGGGTCTTTCCACCCCCCCTACATTCAATGTAGGGAGCCCCTAAAACAGGCTGTAAAGATACTGGCATGAACTGCCAGAGCCAGATTTCAATGAAACCTCAATGCTGCACTAGGCTTAGTGCTGGATTTATGCACAGCCTAAGTAATCCACAGCTTACGGCCCCAAAATACATATTTTTCACTACATCCCAATTTTTACAAAATTGATTTTTTAAAATAAAGGAAACTGGGAAACGGAGTCTATGATATGATACCTGCTCTGTCCCTGAACTAGTGTTGTCACAGAATATTTCCATTTTTATCCTTCCTGGCTAAAAAGGTATAATAATAATAATCTGTGTGGTGATCCTTCTTCTTTAGGTGGTAGTGTTGAAAATTCAGCCCTAGAGCAGGGATGGAAAACCTGAGGCCCTTTAGGTAATGTTGGACTTCACCTCCCATCAGCCAGAGCTGGCATGACCAGTGGTGAGGAATGATGGGAACTGTAGTCCAGGGACACCTGAAGGGTCACAGATTCCTCATTCCTGCCCTGGAGCTTTTAACCATCAGAGTTTTGGATGAGGACATGCTGACATTTGCCTAAGTTACAGGAAACCTCTTAGGAGCAGACTGACAACTGAACCAATGACTTGGGAGACGTAGCCTGGATAGTCATCTGTTTGAGACACTTTATATCTGGATCTCCTGCATGGAGCAGCGAGGTGAACCAGATAGTTGAAAAAGACCCTCCAATCCTGTGATTCTATGATGTGCATTTTATTTTTCTCTAATTGGCAGCGGGTTCAGGATGTCCGACACCTACCACTTCGCTATTGGCTCCTGGTCCTGACCATCATGTTTTTCTACAACGGGGTCTTTCCTTTCGTGGCGGATGCCAGGTAAAGGTTTACTGTGGTAGTTTTATTTAGTGACTCGTCCCAATGCTGAGGTTTGGTTGAAGCTGGAAGAAGTATGAATGTTAATAAGTGAGTGAGAAGTGGGCAGAATGGCCCAAACTCATGGACTTGGCAGCAGAGTCTCCTCTACTACATTAGTTTTGGCTGGCTCTGCCTTGCCAATCAGGTTCTCATATGTGGCCCTAGAACAAACTAGGCCTAGAAGGGTTCAGGATTACTAGTTTCCAAAGTATTCCCTGTTGGCAAATCAATACCATTACCGTTGGACTTAAAACTTGTAGGATGAACTGTGATTTAATGGCTGCACTGGCTGCTGGTCCATTTCTGGGCCCAGTTCAAAGTACTGGTGCACACCTTCAAAGCAGGGATGAAGAGCCTGTGGCCCTCCCAAGTGTTGCCAGCTACAACTCCTGTATCACTGGCCATGCTGGCTGGTGCCAGTTGGGAGTCCAATATCTGGAGGTCTGCAGGGTTCCCCATCCCTGCTTCAAAGTACTTTATGGCTTGGAACCAGGGTAGATGAAGGTCTGGCTTTTTGCTTCTGTTGCATCAGATGATTATCAGGAGACTGTCTTTCAATGTCTTATGAAGCATCTCAGTGATTTCAAAATACAGTGGTACCTCTGGTTACGTACTTAATTCGTTCCGGAGGTCCGTTCTTAACCTGAAACTGTTCTTAACCTGAAGCACCACTTTTGTTAATGGGGCCTCCCGCTGCTGTTGCGCCACCGGAGCACAATTTCTGTTCTCATCCTGAAGCAAAGTTCTTAACCCGAGGTATTATTTCTGGGTTAGCAGAGTCTGTAACCTGAAGCATATGTAACCCGAGGTACCACTGTATAGTAAAAACCATATACATTAAAAAAAAAGCATTCTAAAACAGAAAAAAAATTCTAAAACATTAAATACATTCTCTCAGCCGGTGACCTCAGGAACAGTGCATTGTAGCCATCAAATGTCTGGGTAAACGGGAATGTTTTAAAATTCTTGCTAAGCCAATAATGAGGGAGATAGAGACACCTCATCTCATTACTATGTCAGGTAAGCTGCTTTGGGAAAGTTCTTCGATGGAAGATAAATCCTAATAACAGCAGCAGCAACTCCCCCTCTTCCTCAAGCGGGAGGGTAGAAACCAAAGGCCTGATACCTTTGCAGAGCTTTCAGAAGTCATTAATTCTGGAAAGAGTCCTCCTTTCAATACATCCTGAGTGGCCGCAGCCAAAAAGCCCCCTGGCACCTGGCCAGCTTCTTGGGCTGTGCTTGGTCTTCAAAGTGCCCTACATGGCAGCTCTTGGGTCGTATTGCAGCTTCCTCAGATACACAGGCTGGGGCACCTTTCCCTTGTCTTGGGAGATTTGGATCTCATCCTTTCTGATTCCACCTTAAAGTGCTGTGACCTTGGCAGATTTCCTGCACTGCTCTTCTACATCAGCAAAACGTGTATTGATTGGAGGGGTTGAGATGTGACGTTAAGCCATTGGTACAGTGAGACAATTTTAGACTCTGGACTCAGTGGGTCTTTTTTCAAGAGGGGCGGGTTGTTGTCTTTAGATGGTCATGTGTATTACGCCACTTACTATGAAATGTGGCAAGCTAGCCATGCTTCTACCTCATTCTTTTGATGTCTGCCTCAAAAGTCCTGCCCTGATAGCACCACTATGTTAGGTAAGTGCAAAGCAGAATAGGAGTTTTGCTAGGGATTTAAAGACTCTCTGGGCACAGGCATGGTCTACGGCAGGGGTAGCCAATGTGATGGCCTCTAGATGCTGTTGTACCACAGCTCTGATCAGCCCTGGGCAGAAGGCCAGTTTACCAAACAACGTTGTTTTTATTCTCAGGGAGCTCTAGCAATTGTAGCTTTATAAGGGAATGAGGATCTCCTAATAGCTCTCAGAACCCTTAGGAAGCTGCAGGATTCCCTGGGGGAAGCCACGACTGTTAAACCGTACTTAAAATATATGGTGCGGATGTGGCCATTTGTCTGCAGAGGCCCTTGGAAAAAAGCAAGGCAGAAGAGCTCAATTGTTTCCATAAGGATAAAAAGGAAATCTTTCTGTCATGTGATCTAGAATCTTAATGGGGTTCTCTCTCCTGCAACCCTTTCCAGCAAGTTTATCCAAGATAAGTATCCTGGCTACACCCAACAGGCAGCTGCTTACATTGCTGGGGCGGTTTACGATAGCTCCCTTGTTCTCTCAGCGGCAGTCGGCATACTGATCGTAAGTGCTTGTGTCACTGGCTTTGGTGTAATGCTTGGGCGGGGGTTGGAATTCCTTGACATGGTTTCTGCAGGGCAAGAGCTGCACATTCAGCTATTCCAGTGGAATAGCAGGATTTTGCAAATCAAAATGAGGAGGGCTGGGTTTTGGAACCTGACCGCAAGTTAGATCAAATGATAGATTGGATTGCTTTTATATATATTTTTAAAAAGCCTTACAATGTACTGTATTTTTCCATGTATAAGACACCCCTGTGTATAAGACACCCCTGTGTATAAGATGCCCCCTATTTTGCGGGACACAAAATTAAGAAAATGGGGAGGGGAGGATTGCCCACAGTTGTTGAGCAGGGGGGGTGGGGGGCGGCTTGCCCAGACCGACAATTGGTATCGCACGCGTCACCAATTCCGCCAATCATCTGCCCACTCACCATCGACAGCAGCATTTGCCACAGCCACCAATCACCCGCCCAATCGCCACTAAAAATCTCTTGCTCGCGGCAGCAACCAATCCCATTTCTGACATTATTTTATAAGGAAAAAACCTCGTCTTATACACAGAAAACTACGGCATTTTAGACAACCAAGCAGATCGCCAAGCAATACAGCAGTGTATGTAGAATTATTACTTTTTTTTCATTTTTCAGGATTATGTTGGACTGAGAGGTGTATTTGCAGTTGGCTGTGCAGTGCTGACTTTGCCTGTCTTTGCCCTCTTGGCTTTCACGTTCGTTCCTCCACTTGTTTCTACCATCTGGCTGGGCATTACCTACTCCTTTGCAGCAGTAAGTCATCATAAATGTGATGTTATTTCCCCATTCCTGGTTTCTGCTTCCCTAGAATACAAGGAATAGGTTCTACATCATTTACCTAGCCTGCCTCATTAGAGGAAGCTTCCATGTTCCCTCTCTTAGGTACATGGGTGGAAACAAAAGCCGAAGCTGAAAAAATCCATTCCCCCTAGTTTAACAATCTTACTTCTCAAATCACCTATTTTCTCACTGTTTCTGTTGTTTCAATCACCTCTTAACAGGCTAGCATGTGGCCCTCTATACCCCTTGTGGTCCCCCAGGCAACCTTGGGAACAGCCATGGGGCTTGCAACATCCGTACAGATGATTGGAATTGGCCTTTCTAATGTGATTGTGGGACGGATTCTGGGAACAAAGTCAAGGTGAGAATAGTTGCTTTTCTTCCTTCCTCACAGTTGTGCCGTCAAGAAAATGACACCATTGTCACCATCACTCCCAAACCCCAGATCCCATGTTGCTCCAAGGCTTGGTGATGGGATCACATTATTTTGCATATGTCTACATGATTGGGCGGGACATGGGTGGCGCTGTGGGTTAAACTACAGAGCCTAGGACTTGCCGATCAGAAGGTGACCTGGAAGCTGTACGCCGGCTCCCTTGGCCAATAAAGCGAGATGAGCACGGCAAGCCCAGAGTCGGTCGCGACTGGACCTAATGGTCAGGGGTCCCCTTTACCCTTTACTTTACATGATTAGGCTGCCATATTTCCGTGATTCGTCTGTCAAAAATGGCATCTGGGTTGAATTTTCGGAAACCAGTTAAAATGTCTGGGGAAACCCAAGCATATGGCAGCCCACATCGGAAGTGTTGAATTTTTGGCGAATTTCCAAAAAACTTCAATTTTGGGTGGGGGAAGATTTTGAAAAGAAAAAAAAAGCAGCCCACAACTTTGGCCAAAAATTAATAATTCCAGATTTTCACTTCTTGAGATATGGCAACCCTACTACATAAGGGGATGTAAATTCTCAAGCAATTGGCTGTCTTGTTTGCCATATGTACATTTATTACTATTTACCTTGCAGTGAGTTAAAGATCCCATTGTGGCGATGGCAACAGATGATGGTCTTCATGCTGGCAAACACCATCGCTTGCATTGTTGCCTCCATCAGCCTCAACATAGTGGACAAGAAGCAGGTAAGGATCAGTATTTGGGGCATTTGCCATAAAGAAGCCTAACTCTGCTCCACGTTCCTGCCTGATAATATCTTTCCTTTTTAAATAAAAAAAGAGGTTCTGTCCCAAAGATTGCCTAAGGAAAGCATCATAATGCACAGCCAAGATTGGCTAAAATTTCAGAACCCCAAACTGGGCCATTAAGAAGACTGGTGGTGGCAGCAGAGTTCTGCCCATTTCTTTTGATTTTTGGTCCTCTCTCATTCTTTATGCCATATGCTAATAAGTCAGGTTCCCCTAGCAAAGATGCTGTTGTGCAGGTAGCCCGAAATCCTAGCAAAACAATATCACTGCACGTTGGTTTTTAAAAATTCAGTTGTTGCTAATCAAGAAAACATTGAATGACTTTATGCAAAGCCACAAGTTTCCACACTGTATCCAGAAATGGAGGATTTTGTCTTACTGCATTTTCTAGTAAGAAATCAATGTTTTAGGGAGTTGGTTTCAGTTCTAAAGCACTTTTTTCATGAGAGAACTGTAGAGCAAGAGAGGAAGCAGGTCGCTAAACAAATGAGTCTTAACATTAGACAGACCCAGCCTGACTCCAGTTATTACTGCTAATTACTTTATTTAAAGGGGCGCGGGTGGCGCTGTGGGTTAAACCACAGAGCCCAGGACTTGCCGATCAGAAGGTTGGTGGTTCGAATCTCCATGATGGGGTGAGCTCCCGTTGCTCGGTCCCTGCTCCTGCCAACCTAGCAGTTTGAAAGCACATCAAAGTGCAAGTAGATAGGTACCACTCCGGCAGGAAGGTAAACAGCGTTTCTGTGTGCTGCTCTGGTTTGCCAGAAGCGGCTTAGTCATGCTGGCCACATGACCCGGAAGCTGTACGCTGGCTCCCTCGGCCAGTAAAGCGAGATGAGCGCCGCAACCCCAGAGTCAGCCACGACTGGACCTAATGGTCAGGGGTCCCTTTACCTTTACTTACTTAATTTAAAATAGAGATGAGGAGCTTGCAGCCTTTACCTCTTACTGCTAGGGGTAACCAAAATTGGTGTGGGTGGTGGCAGATATGTTAAAACTTCTCCCCAGTTCTCTGCTGCTGCTGTCATTGGGACCAACTTCCCTGAATAAGGCCACTAGGGTGTAATTATGACCAGGAGGTAACGCTTCTCAGGCAGACCTGATAGAATGTGATTCCTGCTTTATATGGTGGTGAAATAGGGTTTGGAAAAATCATAGTCTAGCACCCCAGCTGACAGCGAGATTCCAAACCACAAAATGCCCAGTTTCATTTTCCTGACTTCTTTTTCTAGGGTGGAACATTGAACCGTTCAACAAAGCACTCATCAACAGAGGAGCCTGCTAGGCAGCCTGTAGACACGGCCCCACTCCTCAGTGAGGTGGAAGATGAAGGATCCATCAACTAGGAAGCCCTCTGTGGGCTACTGTCTAATATTTCATTAAGGAATCTAAACATAAGTCCAACTTACAGTACCTTTTTTAGGCCCTCGTATACATGTAAGTTGGGCTTATGTTAGGAACGAAAGGGAAATCTTACACTACGAGGTTCTACAAATCTGCCATGTGCCAAGAAAGCCTGTAATACTGCCTCTTGGGCACTGGAGCTGTTTAACTGCTGTCATAGAAGAAGACTTCAACAAGAGGACAGTTATTTCCAGCTCATGGTTCTCCAGTACAGGCAGAATTTTTCTCCATGTTGTAGTTTGAAAAGCACAGAAGCATCACTAATGGAAGTCAAATCCTACTGAAATCAATAGGAATTCAGTGAGTAAATTTGCAAGTTACATCTTTATCATATAAGACCCACTTAAGCATTGGGATATTCAAAACATGTCTTCTAAGAATCTCTGCTGCAGGCCTAGGTATCTATCCTGTTATGTTTGCAGGTAGTGTGGACATCCCCTTCAAATGTAGCACAATCTCTTGGCGAACGTGAACCTCAAAAAGCTATGGAATGAATAGGAGTCAATATTATTTCATGCTGGTTCATGCCCATGTCTTGACCTAATCCGTTTTCTATGACAGAGGCCCCAAACAAAACTTGGTGTGTATGCACAATGATTCCTTGATGTTAGCCAAAATAACAAATAGGAGCATGCAGTGGATGAAAAGAAATACTTTACTTATTTGATGGTTTTAGAATTCTTGACAAACGTAAGTGCAAATTGATCAGGATCCCCAATGGAGAAGTTTTCAGTGAGTTGGTTGCCTGCCTGCAAATTCCTACATTCTTGCATTGCTGGGGGTTGGACTAGATGAGCCTTGGGCTCCCTTCCAACTCTACAGTTCTATGATTCTGTCCTTCAGGCTATTAAATCTTGCCAAAACTTATCCATGATTACATTCAAGAGCTTGGTGTGGAGCCAGCAACACAACATGTACTGGAAAAACAACTTCTTGGCTTTCATCCCAGGCTTTTACATGGATAATGTTGGCTGTGAGCTATTTGAATAACATATCTATAATACCAGGAGTGGTAGAATCTGTGGCTGTCTAGATTATTGGTGGGTTAGCTTCCATTATGCCCAACTACTAGCCATTCTGGCTGGGGGCTTATGAAAATTCAACAATATATGGAATACTACAGGTTAGTTATCTCTGCTCTGCAGTAAAAATTGTTTAGAAAGCAAAAATTGATGAATGCCCTCAGTTTAATAAGTTTTCACCTAGTGGGTCTTACCTATTGCATGAATTTGGGCCTTGCCCAGCCTGCAAATGCCCATATGCAGAGATCGTCCACCAACAATACCGTGTTTGGAGTAAAGTATTTTTTCCATACCTCCTATGAAGTTCTTGCTCTGCTGATGTCCAAAGAGTTGGGGCTTTTGTGCTCATGTAGCTTTCCAGCACACACCACATCAGTATTACTAACACAGGACTGTTACGGAGAAAATACTTCCAAGTCTTCCAAAAGGAATCATGTACATCACTAAATATTCCTACTCCAGCAATGGGGAAGGTGGCAGCTATTACCAGCATTATTCTTCTTTGGTACTAGAGTTTAGTAATGTAAACATAAATTTATAGCAAAAGTGTAGGTCATACTTTTGGTCATAAGGCTACAGAAAAATCTGAAGCAGGGCAGTACTTTGATTCTTAGAAGCCTCAAGGAGGCTTGTCAGATTAATAACACAAGTTAAAAATGTAGTTCTCTACCCAGAACAACTTCCAGTCTTTCCCCCTTTGCCACAATATCTCTTTTTACACCTAGTGATTATGTACAGGAATTTCTACGCTATACTGCAACAACATTAACAGAATGCTGATTTTGGCTTGCTAATGCCACTAGGAGAAAGGAATTAAAAGATTTTTAATATTTCTTAAATAATTTCCTTGAAGTTGTGTGAGCACACCAGTATTAAATCAGTAGCACAAGTTGATTAACTTAATGACAACACTGCTCATTTTCAAGTACTGGAGTATTGCTTAATGTTGCTGAGAGGTCAAATTAGGAACCATCTGCAGGCAACCAGAGAATTGTATTGAAAGGCAGCTACTATCTTCAGCTAATGTGAGGACAGAACAGATGGTACAGAAATGAATCCAATAAAGTTAACGCTTCTTTCCTAGTGATTGAAGACTGAGTCAGCCTTAAGGTATTTTACTGCAAAAGAAACATTCTGTTAGCAATATTAAAAAGTGAAGGAGGTAGAAAAACATTCCCCTCCTTGCATAGAGAGTATATATTTAGAAAATGGACTATTTATACTGTAACCTGCTACAAAGATGTTGAGGTAGGGATTAAGGTGAAAACTAGTCAGTAAAAGGTTTCAGGTCACTGTAGCATAGCTAATGACAATACCACTTCACTGGCCAATAACACACAAAATAAAGTTCTGCGTATTCTGTTTACTTTTTCTTGCAATAGTACTGGCATCAGTGAATTTACACAGCAAAGCATGGGGAACTCTTCTGATAACTTGCATAGCCAAATTGGATGGTGCTTCACTGAGTACAAAAGGATAGGTCCCTTTTCTAAGATGCTTACAAAGTTGACAAAGTGGAAACTGAAGAAGGATGGGGATGAGGTAAACAAATGATACACAGTTCATTCAGTTGCAAGTATTTGGGCGAAGGCACAGTAGGAATTGAGGATGTTGTGCCAAACATGCTTCACAGAAGAGATGGATTTTTTGAGAGGATGGTTTTGAAGGAACAGAGAAATGTCATTTAGAAGAATGGTAGCATGAATTTGAGCTATGAACCACAGGTGTGGCAACTTCCAACTAGAAAAGGCCCTCCTTACAAGTGTTGATTGTACAGACAGACATCTGAATCTCTTGATTCTGAATTAAGATACTTTCTATTTCAAACAATATTTGAATTTTATTCTCTGCCAAGAAATGGATGCATTCATCCATAATTTCATTACAAACTTGTCAGGACAGGGAATTGTATTTACTTTTTGCTTAAAATTACCCAGTACAGTACAGATGGATGGCACTATATAAATATGTCCACCAGAGTTATTTTAATGGGACATTTGGTAGTCCACATGTCTCAGTATTGGTGATTTAAACACACAAGGTGATTTAAGACACAAAAGAACACTATTTGGACTCACAGCCTTGGCACACGATAATGAAGTGACAAAATGCAGCTGTTTATTGAATAGTACATGATTCAACACATTCTGAATTTTCATTAACCCCACCTTTTTTTAATAATAAAAGTATCCTTTCTGGATACGTAGTGTACTCCCCCAGGCACCCCTTGAGAAAAATAATGGCACAGGTATAATTAAATCAGTAATAATTTAAGGCTTTGCTGGAAAACTGCTATCCAAAACAGAGGCACTGGTGAAAATGCACCTTTTAATACTTCAGCCCCAGGTAAAGCTTGATGCTTTAGACAAGAGGAAGTCCATAACACAATGCAAATAGTGCCAGAGAAGCAAGTTTGAGCCAATTCTTCCCATGTTGCACCTTTTTAGAACAAATCCACCACAAAGCTCATCATCCACCCCACACCAAACTCTTCTTATTCCCTGTTCTACTGTGGGGTTTCCCCCTTTTTCTTTTGAGGTGCTACACATTTTTGAAGAATGGCGATGAATAATTTTTCTTCCTCAGTAGAGGTGACTTTTTAGTCAAAACAATAACTTGGACAGAACTCCAAGCTACTTTTAATATCTGGCACAGAGCTTGTTTCTCAGAACCCATTTGCAAAATGTTTTCTGCTGGTACCTAGAGCCATTTTGCAAGAAAGGCCACTAGTTCTTTGGCAAGCCTGATGAACTTCTATATATAATGGGAGTTCTAAAGGCAAGCCACTGCACTTGATGTTTTTTAAAAAAGAACAAGTCTTAAAGTACAGCTGGTCAGGAATCTAAATACATGAAGTTTAAGAGCCCCTCCCACCCCCTAAATCCACATAATGAAATTCCAGAAAACAATACAAAGATATTGCAAAAAAATCTGAAGTCTGTGCACCAGGAGTATTGTATTGCAAAAATCCAGGAACCATCCCCAATTGGATGGAGTGAGTGAAAGAGACAAAAAGAAGTCTCAAGGCAGCTACAATGCAAAGAAGTAACCAGGTGGGATAGTCCGTGCTTCCAGATGGGGTCACCAATACGTTATTTATACTTTTAACTACAATAACCAGGGCTCCAGCCTCTGCAGCCTTTCTCCAGGTTCTCCTCTGCCTGCTACAATCAGGACTTTCAATTCTGAAGTACTGGTGGTGGACAAGGTGGGGAGAACTAGAAGACTAGGGTGGGTGGCACAGCAGCTGCAGCCTCATTCAGCATAGCTAAAGGTGCTGTCTCTGGGGAAGAGGAGTTGAAAACTACCCAAATTCTAGGACGAAGTGGTCAATAAGGAGGGAAGGCAAATAGTCTAACAGAGTCAGCACAGAATTAGATAAGACTAGACCCTTATAGGGCAGAAAGAACCTTGAGTACAAACAGCTTCTGCTGGAGGCTAATTATGGGGTAGAACACTACATTCTTAACCATCTCATTGGACAAGATTCAAGGTCTGATTATAGACAAGAGTGGTTTGGCTGAATTTTCAGATCATTCCGTGCCATCCACAACTGCAAATATATTGTCATTCAACTTGCACCTTCCTTAACTAGCTAAAAGCTGTGAAGAGTTCAAAAAATGAGCTCTTGCACAATACATTTTGATTACAATTACTCTCCAGAAGAGGATCTGCTTGCTCAGTAAGGTTCTCCCTCTTTTACAAGATGACAAAGGGCAGTTCTAGTCCACAGTTCAGGAAGATCTTTAGTCAGAGTTTAGACCAGCCTTCCTCCTTATCAAGCACAAATAAAATCCCCTCAGGGCTATATTACCTAATCTGTGCATCAAGGAAACAATATTCTGCCTCGGAAGTGCATGAGCTCAGGGTACTCTCAGAAGTCTGTTCTGCAACTTTAAAAGCCAGAGAAGCTCAAGCTAACTTCTGCCACATACTGAATATGCCAAACCACTAAGTGGCTCTTTCTTCAAGCAGCAGGAGGCTAAATTTCTGGTTCAAACCTTGAAAACTGTTTCTGTGCTGACTCCATTGTGGGGAGGGGGAAGGGAAGAGAACACTTTCCTTAATAGAAGGCAATGCTGGATTTGCCCCCAGGAGGGTTGAGGACTTTGTTGTGTGATCGTGGCCGTGGCCCTAGCCTGGGCTCATGATCATCCATTTTGGGTCCAGGCTCTTTGGTGCTCTCCTTCTTCTGTGGCTCTCTCTTTTCACTTGTATCTTCCACCTGTGGTCTTTGGTCTTCTGTAATTGTAAATTAAGATATGCTGTCAGGTGGCCATGCCAGAATATTCACCCAGTCTTATGGCAATTATAGCTTGCATTACATGTATTTTACCCAGCTGCACTTCGTTCAGCCCCCAGTTAGCACTTCATTTCCATGTTAACAAGGTGATAGTTATGTCATGTATGCTGCGGAAGCATTGTGAAATGCTGCTCCCCAAGAATACGCTGCTAAAAAAGCTTTACAAGGAGCATGGAAGGGCACCCAGTACTGAACACATGCACACACACAAACGCCTTTAAAAAATGTATTAAATCAGCCCACCAAGCAGGCCACTATAATGGGGACACAACAAAGTATTGTGTGTAAAGACCATTCCCAGGCTTTTAAGGAACAGATACAGTCACAACTGCAGATAGACACACACTAAATACTTGTGGCTTATATTCCTCTCTCCACAAGTCTTTTCATTTAGGTTTATTGATCTGGAATAATAATAGCTGTGCTGTGTCAAATATTGAATATAACAAACAAACAAACCCCCAGAAAAAATCAGTTCTTCAAATAAAAATTGGATACTGCCCTTGACTCATCCATACTGGAATGCCTATAGAAACAACCGGTGAACAATCTGTCACCTACAGAGTGGTCCCCGAGCCCTGTGCAGCTCATCAAGAACTATGCTCATCTACTTCTTAGTGGTAAGCCATATCCAGGAGAAAGTATAGCTTAAGCCATGAATTCATGGCAGAGGGAATGACTTAGCACAAGGTTAGTGCTACCGACTGTATAATAATCAGCAATTAAGAAGTAGTAATCTCAGACATTTAGCTTAGCAGGAGATGGTAATACACACTGGTAGACAGAAGCTCAGATCAGATACATATTATTTGTATCAGGCTTAGCTCTGGCATCCAGCGGAACAGCAACCCATTCCAGAATATTCTCATATAGTTATAGGAAGACTGAATTGTGGAGAATCTATTCTGTACTTTTAGAAAATGCACTGAATGCTTTTTATAAAGTTTAGAAGATACAGGGTTGTTTTTTTAAAGGAAATTCAGATGCAGGGATCTCTTCAAATTGTAACTCTTTACAGGTACAGTGGAATCTCTACTCACGTATGGAATCCGTTCTAAAGGTCCATTCGTGAGTCGATCCGGGTCGCTGGGAGAAGTGCCGTTCTGTGTGTGCGCATTCAGCAGCAGTGCCGTTCTGCACATGTGCAGACAGCGGCAGCTGCTTCTGCATGTGCACGAATTGCAGCAAACCCAGTATTTACTTCCGGGTTTGCTGCGGTTACGAGTTGGATTGTTCGCAAGTAGGGGCAGTGGTAAGTTGAGGTTGTACTGTACACACACACAAAATAAGCCAAGCAAATCCACTTTAAATCCATTTCACTCTCCACATTTTAAAAGATCCTCAACCAAATTAGTAAGGAATTATTGGACAGCAAAGTTGAAAACAATGCAAGCATGTCAATTTATTGAATGCATCTGCTTCTGATGGGATTTTTACCTACATAGGGAAAATGGGAGACATCCCTTAAGGGATCTAGATTAACTTTGAGTTTCTAAGTCATTTGGTCAAACTGTTCAAATCTAGAAGAACTACCCTTCAAGATAATAGCCAGGCAATATATGGCACCTTGTACATCACATCCATATATTAAAAAATTGCAGTCAGAGGTGCATTTTCATATTCAATTTCTTGTAACAGAAATAAAAAATTCTCAGTAATATTTCAGCTCAAATTCAAGCTGTTGTGAAACTGAAGATTTCTGAAGAATCTTTGACTATTTTGCTGAACCCTTTAAAGGACTCTTAGTTCATTCCAAAGAGCTTCTTGCTTTTCTACTTATGGCACTGAATGCTGTAACTGTGGGTAAGTAGCATCTAAGGAGCTGCTGACAGAGCCAGCAGCTGACCAAGTCATTTTCCCATTAGAAAGTTAACATACCAAAGATTGGTTTCTTTGGAAAATAAAAAAACCCTCTTCAACCTAAAAGTGTTTTTTGTGGATTCTGATAAATCTCATTTTAACAAGCCTTCCGGGAATTTTGTTCATCCCACATATACTGAAGAGATAGGTTAAGTCCTCAATGTTTGTCTAGATTCTATCTCCCTATAGCCACCCACAAGCTG